ATTATCTCTTGAAATTACACAAAATTTTTTCAAAAGAGAAAATCAAATTATATCTTTGCACAAGTGTGCAAAGCTTTGCACAATTGCACAAAGCTAATTTTAATAAAACCTTACAAACATTTATTTACTTTTAATCTATTTGACTATAAGGTAACCTTTTATAACCTTTTACAATTTTTTATTAAAGAATATTATTGATCATTGCTGGGCGTGGTGGCTCAATCCTGTCATCCCAGCATTTTGGGAGGTAGAGGCAAGGGGATTACTTGAGTTTAGTGGGTGTGAGACCAGCCTGAGCAACATGGCAAGACCTTGTCTCTGAAATAAATCAACAAATCAGCTGGGCATGGTGGCACATACATGTGGTTCCAGCTACTAGGAAGGCTGATTCAGAAGGATCTCTTGAGCCCAGCAGGTTTAGGCCACAGTGGCCGTGAGCACAGCACTATGCTCCAGCCTGAGCTGAGACTCCAAATAAATAAATAAATAGGACCCTACTCCTTCTAGCTCCTTTCAGATATAGCCTTATTTTTCTGTTTTCAGTTTCTCAGCTCCACTCTTGAATTCACTCTAATCAGACTTTCCTCTCTACCACGCACCTGAAACAGCAGTTGCCAGGGTCACCAACATCTACCACAGTGCCAATTCCCAGGGACAATTGTCGGTCCATACCACCACCAACCTCCCAGAAGCTCCAGATATTCTTTTCTTCTCGAAATACTTTCTTTACAGAATGTTATTCTCCTCTGGTTCTCATCTGACATCATGGGCTGTTTTTTTTCATTATTCTTTTCTGGATGCTTCTCTACTTCCTGACCTTTAAAATGTCGGTGTGCCCCAGTGCTCAGTCCTAAGTCCTGCTCTCTTTTCAGTGGGCACTTTCTTCCTGGGTGTTCCCATTCAGCTCCATAGCTTCAAATCCTGTCCCTCTGCCGATCAGCCTAAATGTATACCTCCAGCCCCAACCTCGTCCTTGAGCTCCATCCAAGCATGTCTAGCCTTCCCTTCTATACCTTCACTTGGATATCTAACAGCATCTTAAACTTATGTTTAATACAGAACACTTCTCCTATACCCAGTGTGACTCCTCTCTCTGTATTTTCCACCTAGTGAGGGATACTGCCATTTTTTTTGCTCAGGTCAAAAATCTAAAGGCCATCTTTCAAATTCTTTTATCTGTCTCCCACCACATCTGGTTACTTGTCCGGTTACTGTCCACCTGTCCAAGTCATCATCAACTCTTACCTGCACGGCTGTGGTAAGTTCCTAATTGGTTCTCTCTGGTTTCTCTTTTGTCTCTCTGTCTGCCAATAACTAGGCCCTGCCATTCTCTTCCAACCTCATCTTTATTGGTTCCTTCCCTCCCCACGTTTCAGCCATACTAACAGCCTTTCAGTTCCTTGAGTGTGCCATATTTTCTCTGACCACAGGGCCTTTGTATATGCTATTCCTACTAACAGGAACATTCTTCCTTTGCTGTTTGCTTCTTACCTTCTGCTTCAGCATTCAGCTCAAGCTTCATTGCTTTACGAAAGACCTCTCCTATTCCAGTTCAGAACAAAGTTACTTTCATAAATACTCTCAAAGACCCGTGCTTTTGGTCTTTATAGTACTTATTCTACTCATTAGGTATTGAAAACTATTTGATGGTCAGTAAATAAACGGATAACCTCCTCTAAAAATCTTTGATTTTAACAAATCGCCTATTTGCTATATCGAACTCCTCTGAAACCTAAATTGGTTAATGTATGATATGTTTGAGGCCAACATGTACACAAGATAATCAAAATAAAGATCTGAAATTTCAACTGAAGGGCCAGGGAGTTTTTACTTTCCACAGTAAGCAAATGTGTTATAAGATTTATCTCCTTGAAAATATGTATAAAGCTGTGACTTTATTTTTGTACTTTACTTCACAATGTGTATGGGAAGGGGGTGGAGAGAAGCTTATCTCAAAGTGTCCTGTATTTTTGGTGCTTAATTTTCATCTTCCTTATGTTCCTTCTTTCTTAGACTGAACAGTTGTCCTCATCAGAAACATCTACCAAGAACTTACAGTGGGTATGAGATAGCTTTGCAGTAAGCAATAAAGAAAAGGACTGTTTCTTGCCCCTGCAGAATATAGAGTAGACACAATTGCCGTGATAGACAATATTAGACATTCCGGTGAAAATAAACAAAGAAGGGCTGTACAAATCACCAGGTGTCTGGTTGCAGATGTTTGGCATGACTTTCCATAAAGCAGGAAAGCTACAAGATTCAAGATAACATGGCTTATGGATAAAAGTTAAAGGCATTTAATTTACTTGAAAACAAAGGACTTACAAATAAAAGAATATTCATTTTGAGGAATGAGCAATTCAGTTGAGTTCAAGGGTAGGGCAATGGTGACTTCTCGGCTAACTGCTATCAATTTGATATGTTTTAAGTATACAAGTAGGTTAACAAAAATGGAAGTTTGGGTTAGAATGCCTCTTCAGTAGCCCTGATCAAATGTTAGTTTGAGAAAGTTAATACTGTGGAAGAAAAAAATGGTCAACTTCTGAGACATAGATCTAACTCTGCAACTTGCTTCTACATAATTTAGTACATGGGAAATTTTTCTTTCCAGTATATGCTCTTTAACATATTTAAAATATCCTTCATGCCTTTCAAACATCAACTTTCCTACCAATATTGTACAGGTTAATATTTTTTCACAGATAAAGCACAAAGAGCTGAGGGCATATCTCTGGAATGCACAGCATTTATACAGCAAAAGAGATGCTGTATACTTTCAGACTTTGAATGGGAGATGGCTAGGGACTATTAATTGAGGAGAGGAGAGGAAAGCAGAGAAAGCAGAAGCGCATGCAGCAGGCAGCCTGCTCCAACTTGGCAGGTGTCTTGCCAGGCCCTGAAGTCCTGTCCATAAATGAGGTTGGACTTGCCGCCACCAGCCATTGCCAGTAGAGAGGCAGTGCCAGACTCCTATTAGCACTCACTTGGGTGGCGGTGGAATGAAATCACGGCAGCTAGCAAAGCGGATGGCACTTTTCTTGGGATTGTATGGGAGTAACCTTCTGTTTAAGTGTATTACACAGATCTCATCTCTCACAAAAACCATGTTCCTATTTGGTTAACACTATAGATGAAAATGCTGAACATTGTGTGTTTACTCAAAAGCAGAATCGACCTTTCTTAGTCTGTGATACACTCATGTGACCACAACATCTTTACACATGCAGTAAAGATGGCCAGAGAGAGACAGCATCTGATGTAGAAAAGACACACTGTTGCAATGATTTTCAGCAAGCTCATGCAGAGATTGGATATGTAAGGAACAAAATGTCAGAGTTACTTTCAGTTTGAATTTCTGCCACTGAAATTCTAATTCAAGCCAAAATAGTCCTCTGCACACGGGGCAGGCAAAATGACCAAATGTTGATGAGGAATGATGATGATGTCCGCAGCCTGGACTCTATTCTATCTGGCTTCCTGAATCACCTTGTAGCCCTCTCCAGGTACCCAGGATGTTTGCTCTTTGGTAATAAGGCCAGATACATGAGCAAAAGCTCTCACTTAAATCTGTAGCATGTGGACAACCAAATGAATAGATATCTGATTCTACTAACAGATATAAAACTAAATATGCTAAATTTTAAAGAGAATTATTTCAGCAGTCTCAATTAGTCTTCAAAATGGAAAAACTGCTTCTGCACTTATGTAAAATATAATATGCCATGTTATACTATTTGTTACTTCACAAAGTTTTTAACACATCATTTTAACACCTCTGAGTCTATAAATGTATACCGCAGAAGCCATATCCAGCATATCTAAGCAAAATTGAATCCTATATGCCTGCAGCTCTCACCACCATCATATCTAGAGAAGACAGTGTGACTTTGGCCTGTGGATGGATATCTGGAGAATAAAACCTTTACCCTGAGCATGGAGTGCTGGTGTTTTGAGAGGAGAAGGAAGGAGAAGTGAGCACATGTGGGTTTGACAAGTGAGAATGCTGAAGAAATTGGGTAAATAGCAAGTTTGGAGGCTGGTTAGCAGGACGATTTCCTAAAGAACTTCTTCAATCTCTATTTTGAGGCTATGGAAACAGGAAGCAGAAAGAGTTGATAAACTCATGACATTGTTACTCTCCAGCCCTTGCCATTCTGACTGCCCCTAATATCTTTCCTGATCCTATTTCTTCTAGTACTGCCATCAGATCATTTTAATTTTTGCTGGATATGCTCAATATAAACTAATGTTGTCAACTTCTAGAAATTCCAATAGCAACGTTACATCGGTAACTTCCCAGATGTCTATATTTAGTTCTGAAGTTTCCTCAGAGCATTCTTTTCTGTCCTCTACTGGCCATACCACTTGGATGGATAATAGGAACTTCAATCTTCACGTGTCCAACTCAAGGGTCATGTCTTACATATTTACTCCCAGTGTTCAACACATGATAGACGCTAAATGTATTTTGTCAAGTTCAAATAAAGAAAGATCAGAAATGACTCAAAAGTCCAGCAACAGGGAACTGGTTAAATAAACTATAGTATATCCATCCAATAGAATATTATTCAGCTGTAAAATAAAACACATACAAAAATGAGAGGCTATCTATTAATTTGGAAAGACTACCAGAATTTCTAAGTGTAAAAGCAATGTACAGATCCGTGTATGTATTATGCTATTTGCTAGATTGTGCATAAAAAACACCACGAGGATATGCAAGATACAAATAAAATGATTACTACAGCCTGGAAGTAAAGGGTAGATGGGAATGCAACTTCTCAATGTATACTCTGTTCCACCTTAAAATGTTTGAACTATGTTAATATATTTAGAATAATAATTCAAAACAAACAGTATATTAAAAAAGAGTGGGAAGTTAAATTCAGAAGCAAAAAGAAAAAAGAACTTCAAACTTGAGATCAAACTAAAAAGATCATTATGTGCTCTGCTCTTTCTCTTACATTGAGCTACAATTATCATCAACTTAAATATCTTACTTGTTAGCAACCAAGCGCATAACAGTCCAGTCCTTTGGAAACATCTCTGGGCGTATCAATATTCGGAACACAGTAAATATCTGCAGCAGGAAATCCTTGGATAAGAAGGAAACAGATAATTTTATTGATTTATTGTAACTGTCAAACACACACACACACACACACACACACACACACACACACACACACACAAAGAGTTGTACTGTTGTTACCATTTCCAAAGCAATTACAGAGATGGGAATCATGCTTTAATAGTTTACTCAAGAGAAGGAATAATTACCCTTCCCATTCTTAGCATTCAAACTCATTGGCTTGCTGTCATTCCTAAATGTTTTCTTTTCTTTTTCTTTCTCAGGTAGAGTACAACTTTTCATTACTCTTCACAAACTCTAAAAATTTTGGTTCTGAAAATAAGTGGAAAACTTGCAACAGAATATTAGCAGGCAAATATATTCTTTCTTGTATTATAGTGTCTTAAACATTAGAACTCTTTTCAACTCAAGAGAACAGTGAATAGTCCTGGTTCGGTCCTGCTTTCCTTTAAGTGGGTGTCAACATTTAGAAAGTTATGTTCATCAGAAAGCATCTTATATATAAGCCTATATTTTCTAGAGAGTGTTCTTGAGATGCAGTACTAAGGGGATGTGTGCAGGCTTATAGTATCTGAGTGAATTATCCTGAGTGTGCGATGCAGAATAAATTCAAAGGAGGATATGTGCTAAGTTGAGCCCAGTGACAAGTACCAAGGAGCCATGAGAGTGTCAAGATATTCCTCACAGAGGAGCCATGCCAGAGGGCAGTAGAAATTACTGAGATGTTATCTTTAAATTCACCTGAAAACATTCTTGACAAGAAGCTATCATCAGACATGGAAATATCTCTTCTTTAAGCATGACAAGAGATAGGGCCAAAACGCTGTAGCATATGATACTTACAGGGAACCAGGGAGATAACATATCACATGAAATGAATAAAATGATCTTTCCCTACTTAAGAAAGGATTGACTCAATCTAGCTTTGATTTATATTTATTAGATTTTTTTTTGTAACCTTAAGTGATTCTAGGAAAATCAATTTCTCTACCAATCTGATCGAAGGCAACAGTATGGTGTTGCTTCAAAAATAAAAAGCAACCTCAAACACAAGAGTTTTATTTATCAAATCCAACAACACATTACATTAAATATGTAAGCTGCTTGAATATAAGATTATGGCTGTCACTCATATCCACAGACGATAGAAAGATAGAATCTAAAATCTGAGAACCATGTGGTAGCTTTATTGTTTTTTTAATATAGGCTAACAGTTTCAATCAAGCCTATAAATATTTTGACAAGAATTTATTTTAGCTTCTTTGGCATTGACACTCATACATTGATATGTAGTTTGTGCTATGTGGAAACATGCCCACCAGGTCATCTGTCTTTAAATGGCTACACAGATTCTGCCCATGAATCACTGGAAGCAGAGTTTCCCAAATGCATTCCGCTGCAGGTCAGATAATTTTGGGAAAGACTTCACATTTAGCTCTCTCGTGGGATGGTGGGGCGTCAGCATACTAAAATTGCAAAAAGCTCCACCTTTTTTTTAAGTTGGAGTCTCATTCTGTTGCTCAGGCTGGAGTGCAGTGGCACACTTATAGCCACCCCAGAGTTGACCTGCTGGACTCTGGCTAGCCTTCCACCTTCAACCTTCCAAGTAGCTGGAACTACAGGCTCACGCTACCACACCCGGCTAATTTTTTGATTTATTGTAGAATCGAGGCCTCACTAAGTTGCCCAGGCTGGTCTGGAGCCTTTGGACTCAGGTAATCCTCTCACCTCTGCCTCCCAAAGTACTGGGATTACAGGCTTGAGCTACCACGGCCGATCACAAGAAGCCCTTTTAAATGCATTTCTAAAACTTATTCAAATCATTTCTCAGTTGATTCTTTTGGGTTTCTCAGGCATGAATACATAGAATCCCTGTAAAAAAGATTTTTCCATTTATCTTTCATAGGGTTCTATCCCATTTCAGTTTCCTATCTTGTTGCATTTGCTTAGATAGATATTAAAGAAAAGTCATAAAAGTGGAGATTCATTTGTTTTTCATAGCCTACAATTAATTAGAAATCCTTTACATAAATTCTAAAATACTGACATTTGACCCTCCTGCATCAAAATATGCAACAGAAGTTGAAGGTAGCACCCTTAGTGGTAGTATGCATGCATGTATGTGTGAAGAGAAGGGAAAAAGGAGGCTGGGATGTCAGTTGCATGGAGAAAAAAATAGGCTGACAGAATTGGCTACAAGATGCAAGACATCCATCTTATAGGTGAGCAATTTCCCTTGTTCTTTTGTAGTGCTAGGGACAAAGAAAAAGTTACTCTAGGTGTAGGAGCAAAGGAAAGATAACCTGTTTAAGTGCTATCTCATCTTCCTAATCCCTTTTATCTCATAAATCAAAGGGCTATAATAGCAACATGTGACATTGTCGATGACTGTGTATTGACATGTCTTTATTTCCTACCAAGAATACTTTTAGTAGAAACTCAAGTAGATTTCCACAGTCTCCATTCAAGTTCTACCTATGAAACCAAACACATTCATCTGTAGAAACCATTTAAGAAAAATAAAATGTTACATTAAGAATCAGAAAACCTAGATTTTAATCCTGGCTCTGCAACTAACTATATCAATGACCTTGGCAATTCATTTAACCTCTCTGGAACTGAACTCTCATACTTGGAAAGTGTGGGGGATTGAAGGTCTCTTGTAGTTAGAGATATTTAAAAAATGAATATGATCATTTACACATTCAAAAGGCATTGCCACATTTTTCTAATCTCTAAACTGTAGTCTAATATTTTATCACATCACACTGGGATAACAAAAATATCATCTATTTTGGTACTTGCATGTAATTTAGTTTATCAAGTATTTGTCAACTGTCATGCAGCAGGTTTCATTTCAAACTCAATTTCAATATTTGAAAGTACTAAGACCTGAATGCTAGATTTTTTTTTTTTTTTTTTTTAGCCAGAGCTTGACTTGGTCTCCAAGACTGGAGTGCAGTAGCATGATCATGGCTACCGCAGCCCTGATCTGCTGGATTCAGGTGATCCTTTTGCCTCAGTCTTCCAAGCAGTTGGAACAGGCACACAGCACTGTGCCTGCCTAATTTTTTTAATTTATTGTAGAGAAAAGATCTTGCCAAGTTGTCCAGCCTGGTCTCAAACCCCTGAGCTCAGGTAATCCTCTTTTCTCCATCTCCCAAAGTGCTGGGATTATAGGTGTGAGCCACTATGCCTAGCCACTAAATTCCCTTTCCTTCCTACCCCAAATACAATGGCATTTCCTTATCTGTTCTCTCCAAGTACTTTTCAGTCCTGGTTATTTTCACTAAATATGTGCTTATGCATAGACAGATACAACTATTTTGCACATTTAACTAGATAACACATACTTTTTATAACTTAAAAAAGAGTATTACCATGCTTATAATATTCCTGCTTGGCTAGCACACAGAAATAAGCGTTTCAAATGCCACCATTTTAAACTTGGTAGCCTGAGCAACTTGGTAGCCTTGGGCAGTTTCTTTTTCTGTTTGTTTACTTCATATAGTGCAACATGGTAACTTAACTGTTTTATTGGTTTTCTTCAAATCAGCATTCAAAATAAAAGGGAACAAGGAGGTGCTATAAAGAAACTTTTTCTGTAGTACAAGAGGTTCAAGCTAGAAAGTTCTTGTGAAAATCTTCCAAAACAATTAAAAAGTCCTGTGATCAAATATAAAACAGTAGGAGCAGTTGTTATGATTTTAGAAATTATTGCTAACAATTATTCATTTATAACTATCGGGTGCTTTACTAAGTGCTAGGCACTGTGTAAGATGCTGGGGACATCTGGTAAGGTAAAGTATATCCTTTCATTTATTCATGCAATAGGTGTTTATGGAGTGCCTGGGACATTTCACACAATAGTAGGCTGAATGTACTCTTTACTTTGATGGAGCTCACAATTTGGGGTGGTGGCAAAAATGAGGTTGAAAGATAAACAGGAATAAATAAAAGATAAACAAACCTTGTAACTTTTCCATGGCGAGGAGTTTGGACATTTATCCTGAAAACAATGTAGAGACACTGGGGGGTTTTATACAGATGTTTGAGAGGATCAACTTTGGGTTTTAGGAAGATTTTCTAACTGTCCCATATACAAAATTATTTTGTGTTTACACATGTTACCATGATATTGAGAAAGATACAAGGCAGAAATGGGCTTAGAAAACATAACTGGTGAGACACAGAAACAGGAATTTTGAGAATATGAAGCATGAGTTAAGACATTCATAAAATGACATATCAGAAGGCAGGTAGACTAGGATTATCTTCTTTTGTCAAGAACAATGAACAGGACAGTCTTCTAGAAACAAATTGCCTATATTTATGATTTAGACTGTAGTCTGATGTTATTTATAAAGTTTGCCACAAATTTCAAATGTGGAATAGCTCTTGATATGGGGTTTGAATTCAATTAAAGGGTGTTGGTAATAATTATCACATTGAAATTTATATACTTAAAATGGAATGTTTAAGTGTATTATGCAAAATAACTCCCAATGCTCTTCAATCTTTTAGAGCTATAGAACTATTTTTCTGTAGTCAATATATTCAAATAAAGATGATAAGTCAAAAATAATTGTATGGAAAAAGAAGCAGGTAGGAATATTAAGAGTATTTATTAATTCAACAAAGCTTTAATATTCCAAACTCTGTGCCTAGGACCCTACTTGTGGTCCCTATTCTTAAGAAGGCATAGTCATAAAAAAATACAAGGAAACAGCAGATAATTATAATGCATTGCTACATGCTGTCAGAGGGGGTGATGCATCCTTGTGAAGGCTTCACCAAGAAAGTGATACCTGAGCTGGATGCTGTAGCAAGAGCTGAAATCAGAGAAGGGATTACTAGGGTTACACATTAGGCAATGAAAATGAGGTGGTGGTAGAATAGGTATTTCAGACAGAAAAAAATTATTCAGAGGAATTAAAAATTATATATATTTTGGGAATATACAAGTAGTTTCAAGTGGCTGGAGTGAACAGTGGTTGGAAGAG